ACGGCAGTCGTCGCTATTATAACTCATTTACCATATCCTGCATGATTATTCACAAATTTTCTATAATTAATTTCTCGATAATTATTGCGAATATCGCAAATCGGTATAGGACTTTTATGTTCATCTCAACCTGTTCTACGTCCCCACAAAATGCCCGGAGGAGAGTGTGAGACACCCTGTATACAGGGTGTTTTATTCATACACAGAAAACAAAAAAATGTTCTGAATAAATGGTATTTGTTTTTATACTTACTTTCACATAAATTAAAAAATGAGAGTTTCCATTAAAAAAAATATAATTAATTTTTATTTTATATCTATAGTAACACTATAACTTATAGTAGCACTACCTATAATATAAGTGATAATGTCATCTTATATTTCCTTTAATACTAAACAAATCTTGCCTATAACTTTTTTTATATGATGCATATTTATATTTGTTATTAAATTATAAATAATTTATCTTATATATATATATATATATATATATATATGTAATATATATATATATATATATATATATATATATATATATATATATATATATATATATATGCTGTATGTGGATGTTTTTTTATGTAGTTATATCTTTCCTTGCATTTAAGTACCTCGAGATCATTTGGATGACGGATAGATACGAAGACCTCATGGAAAAACCATAGTTTATAAATGGGATAATATTTATCTGCTTTGGCACGCAAATACGACCATATTTTCACTGTAAAACATTCAAATATATAATTACGTTCTTTAAGGCGCGATACCGGCTTGGTAAGCTACCTATATAAAAGAATTAATGCTTTTCGAGTTACCCCCATCACCAATCTTTAAAATAGAGTTGTACTTTGTAAATTTATGTGAAAATACTTCTCCATAACCTCCGTGACATTTACACTCATACATAATTTTATAACATATTATCAGTTTCGAAGCTTGAAAATTGATCGTTGATTGGTACATACATGGAAGTATGTAAGAAAATATGTAGCTTTCACTGTCAACGAAATCATGTAAGTTTGTTACAATGCACAACTTTATGTACATTTTCATAAATGATAGCATTTACGAAATCATTCACACAATCGAGGATCGTGTGACAAATGCTTAACTATGCAAATTTTGAACCAGATCAGTCAAACAGTTTAGAAATATATAGAAAACATATAGAGATACACAATCATTCTACTATATGCATATATATATATGTGTATATATACATACCCCTTATAGAAATATCATACTAAGAATCATTGATAATTACTTATTATCCAGTATTTTTAATACTAAAAATAAGTAATTATCAATGATTCTTAGTATAATATTTCTATAAGGGACACACAAGGTATCCTAGACTTTCTTCCGCAAATTTTGTGAAAACGTAGAACAGATTAAGATGGTGAAGTGTGTTATCGTGTGCCTATACATTAGATCAAATTGAACAAAAACCTTTTATTATTTGTCAAATAACCATAGAATTTTAGTTATTAATGAAGGGAAATTGTAATATGAATGTGTGTGTACGCGATAATACACAAATCTTCTTTAATTAATGTGTAAAAATTGTATGTGGTCATTTGCAAAATGGTAGGGGACTTTTTCAGTTTAACTTAATGTGTAAGTATACAAGCAGACGGTATCACTATAGTTCACGTATCATATCGTGCGTGATCATATACTAATTTTCTTTAATTAATATCTCGAGATTTATTGCAAATATCGCAAAGCGCACTTTGTGTTTGGAGGACTTTTATGTTCACCTCAATCTATTCTACATTCCTACAGAAATTGAAGACGAGACTCTGGAACACACTGTATATATAAAAATTTATTTTATATATATTTTATAATTAATGATAACACAACCCTTATAGAAATATCATACTAAGAATCATTGATAATTACTTATT